CGTGCTCTGGGGGGTGGAGCCAGGCGGCATGGCCACAGCCTGCTCTGGGGGGCAGGGCCCAGCGGCACAGCTGCAGCCTGCCAGCCCCGGGGCTGCAGCTGCTTTGGAGGCTGGGGGGAGAGCAGCGTGGCCAGAAGCAGAGGGACTCTGGCCCCGCCTCTTCCCTTCTGTCTCTGCTGGCTGTGCTGCCTCTCCTTGCTCCCTCTGTTGGGGGGAGGGGCTGTGTCCCACCTCTCCCTCTCTATACCCGTTCATAAGCCGACCCCGTTCTCTGGTGCTTCCCTTTTTTACTAAAAAAAATTCGGCTTATGAACGAGTATATACGGTATTTAGCTGGGTAAACAGTTCCATTCACAGTCTCTAGGACAAATGTAACAAAACAGAAATATCTTAAGTTATTATTTCTTTTATTTATTGTAGTGCCCATGATATGCTGGACACTTTCCAGATATGCAAGATGAGTGGGTCCCTGCCCCAAGGAACTGATAATCTACGATAGACAGAGAGGTCAGGAAAGGTCAATAACAAAAGGGAAATATTGTACAAATCAGCATGATCCACTGTAGGGAACACCATCTAAAACAGAGAGAGTAATGGCCTTGCACATGTTTTGAGGGAAATTGAAGAATATCTGAGGCCACATGAAAAGATGTGGAGGAGATTATTCAAGAAGATGACTGATGGGTAGGAAAGGGTGACATTGGTGGCAGCGTGGAAGGGGAAGAGTATCAGGTGAAGCACAACAAGTAAATATAAGTAGGAAGGAGCAGATTCATAGAGAATCTTGAAAGTGGTGGCTATTATTTAAATCTCATGCAATGGCAGATGGAAACACAGTGGAGAGAATCAAAGAGGGGAATGATAATCAAAGCAACAGACCAGGAACATAAGAACGGCCAGACTGGGTCAGGAAGATGACTAGTAACTCTAAGTTAATAATTTTTTTTTTCAGTGAAAAAAACTTGATGAATGTATTAGGCTCAGAGTATTTTTAATATTTTTTTTCCAAATCTGGCTTTTCTGAAGTGTCTGGGATGCACTTGATGTGCATTCATCTTAGGTACCCAACACATGTGACCTTAAAAAAAAATATTAGACGAATTAAAAATGACATAATTTTAAAATAGTATTATTTTAAATACTTTATTCATTATCTGTAATGTAGTCATGGCTTTTCCAGTGTGCAGTAGATCCATTGCTAAAATTGTGGATTGATTGTGAATTGTTTTTAAACATAGTACAGAACGTTTCCTCAGGTCAAATGATAATATTCCCTATACAAGTCCAAATGTACCTTCTGTAGACCTCATTGTATATTACCCTGCCCCTCATGCCATACAGTGAATGTTCAGATAAAGATAAACCACAGTGTAGGCAAAAGAACTTGAGATCTGAATGATAGGACATTCCTTCAGGTCAACTACTGTCTACAACAGATTCAATCTTGCATATTATTGCAGGAACTCAGCGCTGCTTCAGTGTACTTGGGAAAGTGAAACACTCACTGAAACGAAGGACAAAGTTTGGATAAAGGCAGGAGCCTCACGGAGACTTCAGTTGCCAAGTACACCTGTGCACACACCCCGCATTTACTCACTTCAGAGTATGTGATGTTCAGAGACGTTTACATATGCTCAATAACAAAACGGGTATGTTTGGATGTATAGCAGATTTTCACGTGACACCTCCTCACCTACTCCCTCTTACTTGATGCTGGACCAGGAGAAACAGAGTTGCACTAGTTTAGTTTAATGTGTGGTTTTAAGTCAGGTTAGTTAAACCAGCTTGAAAGATTGTATGGACATTCTTGATTTAAAATGAAATAAGAAACTCAGAATATCGTAGAACATATTCCAGTTTTTATTTAATTTGGAAATATGCCCATACTGATCAACCCCAGCTTCAGAAATTGTTTCTTGCAGACAAAATTTTCCATAAAAATATACCTTAAATGGGTAAATAGAATTTAATCTAGCCTTTTATGTAAAATAAATTTAGCTAAATTATTCTGTAAATCAGAATGTTTATATAGCAGGATTAGGTGATACACAATTTTGAAATAAAGAGGGAGTCATGTCATTCAAAGTTAATGTGATCCATATTGGGTGAGCTATTAACTATTCAGAACTGTGAAATAATTGACTATATACTTAAAACTCCCAAAAGATTAAAATATAATTTTATTAAAATGCTTAAAAGAAAAAATGCCTATGCTGCCTCTAGGGTATGAAGATTTGGTATTAGGGCTCTGATCCAGTAAAGAACATAAGTACAAGTTTAACTTTGTGATGAGCAGTCCCAAGTAGGTGCAAAGCAGGGAAACTTAAACAATGGGTCCACTCACATCCTTGAAACTAAGCACATACATAACTGATTGCAGGACTGAGACTTAAAGAAGTTTCTAAGAGTTTACATTATGTACCCTTGTGAAATATACTAGTGTATTAAAATTTGCATTCAAAGTATCTGTATATGACATTTTGTGGAATTACAGAATGTCATCAGATAAATAAGAAATGAAATATATGACGTATGCCCAGCTTAATTTAGAAAGCAAAATGTTAAGCCATCATTTCAGAAACCTATCAGTAAGGGACATTGTGATCCTCTAAGGAAGAAGAAACTAACTTCCCTTTGCCTAAAATAAGATGTTGTTTCTGATGTTTTAGAAAGCTGTTGCCGTCACATTCTTTGCTGTGATTGCCACTGCTGATACTGCTAACACTACTCATTTCACTGTTTCCCTACATTTGTTAAATGTAAAATATCTTTTGTTCTCACACTGAGTTTTTTGTGAATTCAGAAACAGATTCTGCAAGGAATTCCTTCATTATAATTGATTTCAGCTACAAAAATGGTAAAATTCTATAATGGTGGCATATTTGTACATCAGTGAAATTTGCCATCTAGGAAGTGATGAGGTTTTGCACTGGATTGAATTAGGGCTTGGTCCCTCCAGGTAGACTGAAGCATCCATGCAGAGCCCTAAGAATTCCATGTTTCTCTGTACAACAGTCCATAGGCATGAATTGCAATGTAGGATCAGGGCTTTAGTGAATATTCATAAAACTCTCATCCCTTTTAATGTGAAAAGGGAAAAGAGGTGATTTCAGAAAACTCCAGCTGTTGCAGCCTTTCTGTTGTGTTCACCATTTTCCTCAATATTTTTTTTGTTATCTCACTGACAACTGGTGTTCAATCATGTGTAGTTTTTCATTACTCATATTCAACTTGTGTATGCACCATTCTTAACTTGCTTAGGCCTTGATCCTTCAATTTAAAGTGCACAGGTTTGGGCTATAGAGTAACTCCTCCAGAAATGTTAGAGACACCACACTTCCCATGCAGTCTGGTGTATCTGTGAGGTACTTCCTGCTTGGGAGTAGGAACAAAGGAACCTAGGTCAGGGCAGTCACAGGTTACATTGAGAGGGTAGTGAGAAGTTTTGTTACCTTATTTCAGTACATAGTTTCCATTCTTAATAAAGGGTTTATCTTGAAACCTGTGTGCTTGCGATAAGATACTACAGGTTTGACTGCTGCAGCCACACAGAGCCCCACTGACTTGATTGTGCTTCTCCTGTTTCAGTGAAGCAGGCCACACGTGTTATCCATTGCAGGATCGGAGTCTTGATCACTATGACCAGTCTCCTGGCATTGTAAAAATATTAATTGTAAAGTCCTTTATTAAGCTTTCTGGAACAAGAAGTGGAATATTGGGAGGGAGCTGTCCAGATAGCATTGTGACATGAGATCTTTTTCTTATCTTAAAATTCAAGGATAAGAACTCAAAATTAAGCAGTCTGCAATGCCATAATTTTTATGCATCAACACTAGCTCCAACTGGCTTTTTAATTGGGCTTCAAAAATATTAGCCAGGTATATAAAATCAGCTAAAAGTGACTGAATATTTTTTGATCTAGTATATTACACATTTATGTCTCCATCGTTTAGGATAGGGGTTCCCAAACTGGGGGTCGGGACCCTTCAGGAGGTTGCGAGGTTATTACATGGGGGGTCGCAAGCTGTCAGCCTCCACCCCAAACCCCACTTTGCATCCAGCATTTATAATGGTGTTAAATATATAAAAACGTGTTTTTAATTTATAAGGGGGGTCACACTCAGAGGCTTGCTATGTGAAAGGGGTTACCAGCAGGGCTGACAAGAGGGGGAGGGGGAAGCCAGTACAAATTACCGGGGCCCGGCGGTCCGGAAGGGGGCCCGGGGCCCGGCTTCCTGCCCCCCATCGCCTTACCGGGGCCCAGCGGTCCGGAAGGGGGCCCGGCTTTCTCCCCCCCCCCTCGTCGGCCCTCTTTAGTCGGTCTGCCCTTGCGGGGGGCCCAAAATTTTTTTTTCACCGGGGCCCGAACCCGCTCTCAGCGGCCCTGGTCACCAGTACAAAAGTTTGAGAACCACTGGTTTAGGACATCAGACTGTTATTCTCACCTGTTTTGCCGTACTCTGTAACTTGCCAAGATTTTGTAGCAAATAGTAAGATTAACCATAAATATAATTATTTTAAGACTTTTTCTTCCAAGGTTTTAGCAACTCTGTTAACATTTATAGACATGCTTTTATTGAGACACTGATGAAATGGTGTATCTTGCATATATATCGAGAGCCTTTCTTAGTATTAGTTATTTTAAGTTTCAAAATCAAGAGCATATAATATTCTGTAAATGAGGAAAGAATGTTAATGTCTGGATTATAACATCTTACATATTTCCCTTAAAAATTTAACACAGCTGATGTTAGTGTCAACATTTTCTCATTTACATAAAAATGTATGTAAAAGATGATATATTGACAAAATATGTATAAATAATACAAAAGATCTGTCTACAGCTTCAGAGGGTGAAACTGTACTTTTATTTTAATATGCAAAAAAATGGTTTGTTTGTTTTAAATCTAACCAAATCTCCTTGTAGTATGCTTTTCTGTCTTCTGGGTGACACTGTCTCTTGAGTTTGTATTTACTATTTATCTTTCTCTTCTCTTTAGCTTCTGAATCGCAAAGACAAGACCACCTTTGAGAAGTTAGACTACTTAATGTCTAAGGAAGATAATTATAAGAGGACACGAGAGTACATCAGAAGCTTAAAGATGGTCCCTACTATTCCCTATTTAGGTAGGTGTGAAAACAGGCTTGTGGTATCTGTGGAAATATATTCAGTTTTGAATAAGAAGTCTTTGCTGTTTCTGACTGACAAATAGCCAACTGGAACTGGTGTACTTGAAGCAAACCACATATTGAACATGTGGTTCACTTAGTTTGTTGTTCAGGAAAATTAAAGGTAGTGAAGGATTTTAAGGTGTAATAATGTCTAAGATCATTGTGAACTTGGAGAGCTTTCATCTTCACATTAAATCGGAAAACATAATTACATCAATGTTTAATGTGGATCATAGCTCTTTTTAATTTACAAGAGGATTGGATTCTCTGTGAGCTGAGGGGTGAAAACATTATTTTACTGGACCAACTTTTGTTAGTGAAAGAGACAAGCTTTCAAGTTATTCAGAGCTCTTCAGGACTGTAAGATACTCAGAGCATTACAGCTAAATATAAGATGGAACAGATTGTTTAGCATAAGTAGTTAACACACATTCTAAGGGACATTCAAGGTAAAGTAGCCCGTTACCACCCCTGCATTTAAAAACCGGGGAGGTTAGGGGGTGTGGCAGAGCTCCTTCTCCGCCTCAGTGGGTTCTGTGCTTCCTCTTAGCTATGGGCTGGGGGATTTCGCTCTCCCTGGGAATTTATCCACACTCCCTGGGTTTACAGCCCCCACCTTGTCTGGCAGGGGTTCCTCCCAGCCTCCCTGACAGGGGAGGGGGAGCAGAGCCTCTTAGTCTCTGGTAGCTCCTCCAGGCGTAGTGAAAAAAGTTTTTCCTAATATCCAACCTAAGTCTCCCCCACTGCAACTTGAGATCATTACTCCTTGTTCTGTCATTTGCTACCACTGAGAACAGTCTAGATCCATCCTCTTTGGAACTCCCTTTCAGGTAGTTAAAAGCAGCTATCAAATCCCCCCTCATTCTTTTCTTCCGCAGACTAAATAATCCCAGTTCCCTCAGCCTCTCCTCATAAATCATGTGCCTCCTAATCATTTTTGTTGCCTTCCGCTGGACTCTTTCCAGTTTTTCCACATCTTCTTGTAGTGTGGAGCCCAAAACTGGACACAGGACTCCAGATGATACCTCACCAATGCCGAATAGAGGGGAACGATCACGTCCCTCAATCTGCTGGCAATGCTCCTACTTATACAGCGCAAAATGCCGTTAGCCTTCTTGGCAACAAGGGCACATTGTCAACTCATATCCAGCGTCTCGTCCACTGTAACCCCTAGGTCCTTTTCTGCAAAACTACTGCTTAGCCCGTCAGTCCCCAGTCTGTAGCAGTGCATGAGATTCTTCTGTCCTAAGTGCAGGACTCTGCACTTGTCCTTGTTGAACCTCATCAGATTTCCTTTGACCCAATCTTCTAATTTGTCTAGGTCCCTCTGTATCTTGTCCCTACCCTCCAGCGTATCTACCACTCATCCCAGTTTAGTGTCATCTGCAAACTTGCTGAGAGTGCAGTACACGCCATCCTCCAGATCATTAATGAAGATATTGAACAAAACCGGCCCCTGGATTGACCCTTGGGGCACTCCGCTTGATACCGGCTGCCAACTAGACATGGAACCATTGATCACTACCCGTTGAGCCCGACGATCTAGCCAGCTTTCTATCATAGAATCATAGACTTTAAGGTCAGAAGGGACCATTATGATCGTCTAGTCTGACCTCCTGCACAACGCAGGCCACAGAATCTCACCCACCCACTCCTGTAATAAACCCCTAACCTATGTCTGAGTTATTGAAGTCCTCAAATCATGGTTTAAAGACTTCAAGGTGCAGAGAATCCTCCAGCAAGTGATCCGTGCCCCACACTGCAGAGGAAGGTGAAAACCCTCCAGGGCCTCTGCCAATCTTCCCTGGAAGAAAATTCCTTCCCGACCCCAAATATGGCGATCAGCTAAACCCCGAACATGTGGGCAAGACTCACCAGCCAGACACCTAGGAAAGAATTCTCCGTAGTAACTCAGATCCCAGCCCATTTAACATCCCATCACAGGCCATAGGGCATATTTACCGCTAATAATCAAAGACCAATTAATTGCCAAAATTAGGCTATCCCATCATACCATCCCCTCCATAAACTTATCAAGCTCAGTCTTGAAGCCAGATATGTCTTTTGCCCCCACTGCTCCCCTTGGAAGGCTGTTCCAGAACTTCACTCCTCTGATGGTTAGAAACCTTCGTCTAATTTTAAGCCTAAACTTCCTGATGGCCAGTTTATATCCTTTTGTTCTTGTGTCCACACTGGTACTGAGCTTAAATAATTCCTCTCCCTCCCTGGTATTTATCCCTCTGATATATTTATAGAGAGCAATCATATCTCCCCTCAGCCTTCTTTTGGTTAGGCTAAACAAGCCAAGCTCTTTCGGTCTCCTTTCATAAGACAGGTTTTCCATTCCTCGGATCATCCTAGTAGCCCTTTTCTGTACCTGTTCCAGTTTGAATTCATCCTTCTTAAACATGGGAGACCAGAACTGCACACAGTATTCCAGATGAGGTCTCACCAGTGCCTTTTATAACGGTACTAACACCTTCTTATCTCTACTGGAAATACCTCGCCTAATGCATCCGAAGACCGCATTCGCTTTTTTCACAGCCATATCACATTGGCGGCTCATAGTCATCCTGTGATCAACCAATACTCCGAGGTCCTTCTCCTCCTCTGTTTTGCTACAGCTAAGCTGTGTGACAACTCCCTGACATCATAACTTGTCTGCCTTGCCAGCAAATTCTTCAGGACTCTGCCAGTCCGAACCTTGTCTTGAAAGTAACAAACAGTAAACTACAGCTTTACAGTGCAGCTCATTAATTGAACTGTGGTTTGACAAACACTCATATTTCAATCATAGAACTGATACAGTTTATCGTAAAAATCAAATAAGTTTATTTAACAAAATACATGGGATTAAGTGACACCAAATATAAGGAATAAAGACAGAAACGGTTACAAGCAAACAAATGTGAAAATGTGCTTCCAAGACTAAAAATTAACAAGCAAATTGCAATCTTTGCTTAAACATATTTCTCACCTAGATTTAGTTTTCAGAGACTTCAGCCCCCTTGAAATCAAGAGCTGTGGCCGCTTGATCCCCCATGTTATGGGTCTCAAAATAGCTTTCTGTTTCTGCTGATATTTCCCAAATTTCATTGACCCTGTTATAAGAGTCAGGAAGGCTTCCTGCTGTTCTTTCCTTCCTGTTGACTTCCCATCCCCTGATTTGTATGTAAATAGGCTTCCATTGTTTTGATTCAGTAATGCTTAATTTATATTTCAGACAGGTAGATAGTTGCCTTCCTTCCTGACTGAGAGAGAACATGTTTCTTCCTGTGTTTGGTCTCAGACTTTAAAGCATAATATCACTGCGTATCCATAATTCCTCACACAGTGCTAATGCAGACATTTCACAATGATATTAATCACCAATGTGTTGCAGGCTTTCATAAAAAAGTTTGCTTGATACAGTTTGATAATACAGTAATATTGTATATAATCAGTTGATTCAATTGCTTATCATTAGAGGTTCAGAACCCCTGTTTTTATAGCCCAGTAAACCTTTGAAATGTACTCTTTGAAAAGTAAGCCCAGACCAAGTTTCTCTCTCCTGTGGGGGTGTAGACACACTGCTGTCTGCGCAGAGTTCATTGACCCTGGTCAAGAGGCAGGAAGACTTCCTTGTGGTGCATTCTCCATCCCCATTGAGATTATATTCATCTTTCCCCGCTTGATCTCCTGATGGCTTTGTTTACCTTGCATGTAAATGTGCTTTTGTTTGTCTTTGGTCACACCTTGCCTAATTTACATCAGAGACTCATTCAAGCAGATGGAACCACATTCCTTTGTCTGGAACAGCCGTGGCTTAGGCCCTGCTTGCCAAATACATTATTAAAAACATAATTCTAGCACTTATTTATAACACCTGGTATACACCCCATACATACACCACACAGTGATTTTTTGGGGACCAGGGTGTTACCAGTTTGTGTATGATGGATTACATGGCATGTTTTAGATACAGTTTATGACAACAATGTGTTAGGTGTAGTGAGTATGTCTGGCCTGATACAAGCTGCTATCACAGAGTAGTGAACACTAATGGGCCTGTGATTCACAGACATCCAGCATGGAAATGTTCAGGTTAAAGTATGGCAAAGTTGTAAGCTGCTGAAAACAGTGCATTATAAAGGAATATAAGGACACTTAACAACAGATGACATTGCCAGCTCTACTTATTATAAGAAGACTTTGCATTTCTATAGTGTCTTTCATCCAAAGACCTCAAATTGCATGACAAACATTAATGAAATTAGCCTCATAACTCCCTATGAAGTAAGTGTGATTGCCTCATTTTATGATGAAGAAACTGAGGCACAAAAATTTGAAATTATTTACCAAAGGTCAGACAGAAAGTAGTGGCAGAATTAAAAGTAGAACTCAGATAGCCTGATTCCCAGTCTTGTGCTTTAGCCACTTCCCCATCCTTTATATACTGTACGTTGACATGATTTCAGTTCCAATTAAACTTCAGAGTAGTGTTTTTGACCTTCTAACCACAGGAGTTTAGGGGTGTAACAAACTATTATTCTAGATGAGACTTAAGTTAGTTAGGTCTTTGAAGACATGGATAGTTGTTAGTGGGAATGTTTTATTGAAATTGTTTTATTTAAAGAAGAAAGTTTACATAATTGTTATACAAGCAAATTTGTATGAATGCATTTCTGTAATACATTTATCTCATTTCTCCTGCCAGTTTTCTTCTTAGCTCTTTATATCTTCATCCTTCCCTCTTGATATCGGAGTGAAAAACAGCCTTAACTTTGAATTTCAGGCTTCTGGTTGTTTGTGTCCATAATCTTAATGGTAAAATGTTATTTAACCAGATTGGTGGCTATTAATTTCTCTTTTAATAGGGCTGTAAAGCGATTAAAAAAATAATCATAATTTAAAAAGTTAATAGTGATTAATCGCGCAATTAAGCGCACTGTTAAACAACAATAGAATACCATTTA